TCCCGTAGGTAAAGACGAGGGTACCGCTAGCGAAAAAAGCCTGCGATGGTTTATTCTGGGCATCGATAAATGGTCAGGACGTTCTGGGTTGAAACGGGTCTTGATGATAAGGATTGATGCCGTGCATTTTATTGTATCGGTCGAGGAATTGGGAGGAGGAGAGGTTTTTATGGTGAGGGAACCTTGGCGGCTGGGGTTTTGCCGAGCACGTGCGTGGTTGACGGGGCTAGGGGGATTTGGAGTTAGCGGGTTGGATGAGTGGTGGGATGAGTGAGTGAGAGGGAGAGAAGATCACTGATTGGTTGGTGAGGGAAGTGATTAGTAATCAATATGGATTTTTAAATTTTGGATGCTGCGGGTGAGGGTTAGATGGAGATTGAGATTGAGTACATATACAGAAAGCAAATATGACGGCTAGTAGTAGAGGTTGCAGTAGGACTGCTGTGAGATTATTATGTATGTCTATCTTCTTTCCCTTCTATTCAATTCAATTCAATTCCATTTGATTGCTGAGGTCTTGACCCGGTGATGCGCTGCTCTGGCTTGCTCACTGGTTTTATGGCTGTATATATGACTCTATGGTTCGCGGGTCTCTTCGCACAAACTCTGAATTCGATATCAATACTAACAGTCTCTGCCCTAGATTCTTCAAGACCAATCATCTCCCCCCGAATCCATCTCACCACCCCATCATGCATACACAAACTTCCCACCTCACAGGCTCGAAGCTATGCAGTCGCTGCCTCAACTCTCAAACCTCTCGATGGTCCGCCATCTCACCTCCCACATATCGATGCCATACCACAAGTAACGCCGTCTTCAGAAACTCCAACGTGTAAAATCTCCGTGGGAATAGTCCTCAGTCGGCCACCCCTCCTCACGGAACCCGCTACGCCTTTTGAAAAAGCATTTTATCTTTACCAAAGGAGATTAAATGAAAGATTGGTTTTGCCCTTCACCAGATACTTTTATCATAAGAAAGATCAACCTGCGGATATAGAGTGGAAAGCTAAGGTTCGGGAAAGAAATGGGGTTGCGGCGAGGGATATTGGGGGGTACAAGGCTTATGGAGAAGAGGGATGGAATGATGAGGTTCTGATTGGGAGTGAAGGGAGCAAAGCCGGGGAATGGGAGGATATTGCTGGGAAGCTTGTGGAAGAAGGGATGGGGGATGAAGGGGAAAGGGTCAAGCTTGAGAGTCGGGAGGGAAATGTAGAAGATAAAAAGAGTTTGGCGAGGAATTTGTCGGAGACGGTTTATTTGGTTGTAAAGAAGAAGGAAATGCGTACGGATAAAGAGGGAAAGGAGATTGAGGTTGATGTTTGGGAGTTTCCACGGGGGGATCTGAGGCAACATGAGGTCTTGCATACGGTTAGCTTTTTTTTCTTTGTTTTTACTTTCTCTCTACACCCGACTTTCTTCCACACATCACTAACCCTCTTCAATAGGCCGCAGAACGTATCCTCTTTCAAACCGCAGGGCGAAACATGAATACCTGGATAGTAGGTCATGTCCCAATTGGCAGTCTTACAATCAAACCTTCAGTAAAATTCAATAGGGAAGGGGAAAAGGTGTTTTATATGAAAGGGAGGATTATGGCCGGTCAAGCTGATTTGAAGGGGAATGAATATAAGGCTGAGGATTTTATGTGGCTGACTAGAAGTGAGATTGAAGGATTGGTCACAAGGAGGTTTTGGAGCCAAACTAGTGGTATGTTAGGAAATAGGTAAAAGGGGAGCGAGTCAAGACTTAACATCTAGTTGAATGACTTGCGGAGTGTCGGTCTGGATGTGGATGTGGATGTGGATGTGAGAGTGGATTGTAAATATCCATATATGTGTGTGCTATGATGAATGGGTGATTCACATATAGAGAGGGGAAGAAAGCACATGTCATAATCCCCTCCGTCCCTCCCCAGCATTCTAAAAGAACTCAGCTGGTGACGAGTGAATGGCGGGAGATGGGGGGAAATGTATCATTCTAAAGATTGCTGGCACGGAAGCGAAAATGGAAATTACACTCTCTGTATGAAGTAGTTATTATCTAGGGAATCAATATCGAGTACGAGACGAGTAGAACTGTTTTCATATATACGCTGAGCTGGGTAGGAGGTAGTAAGTAGTGAGTAGAGTAGGTCGATATTAGCTGCTAGCTATGGGTAAGCTTACCAAGTCGCTTTTAAGGATCATGTAATGAACGGAATGAGGAGCAATATGTACAGGAGAGGGGTTTGATTTGATTTGGTTTGATTTGATCACCTGGTGTGTATGTATGGTATGAACACGAGTGTAAATACGAGTGTAAATAACGAGTATACCGGGAGATTTGAACCATAGGCGTTTGAACGAACAGAAAGAGGATTTGCAACTGGAGGGTAACGAGTTTGTCATTCTTGGTCAATTGCGCGGGACTTGGGGCGAGGAAATTCGTGGGGCGCGATGAAGCTGCACGGTGTTTCCGGTATGCGTTCAATTACATATCTGTAGCTGCGGTGAAAACTAGACCCACGAGAGCGTTAACCGTGACGAAGAAGAATAGCTGGGACCCGGGTCCTGATCGTGGCCTCACAGAGCGGATTTTGGAAAGGGTGAAGAGTGTTGGGTGGGCGGACGAGTTTACGGGTGAGAGCGGGGAGATTGAGGTTCTGGGTGTTCTGGTGGGATTTCGGCCGGGGAGGGAAGGGGGCACGATTGGAGGTTGAGGGCGTCGATGGTGGGCATGGGAATGGTGACGGAGAGGGAAGGGAAGGGGAAAGAAGATTGGAGATGTTTGGGTCGTCCATAATTATGGTCACGCGAGTGGTGGGTATCAATGTAGCGTTGGTCCGGGGATTGAAGTGACCGGCGAAGAAGCACAAGTGAACACACGCGCACAGCAAGACAGATTCTTTATTTAGCTTTGGCTGGGGAATGTTTTGTATTGTTATAACTTGTACCTTTGCTTACATGGAAGACTGATATTGTTTGTCTGTGGTTGGATGATACGAAAGGGGTGTATGCTCATCGACGGTCGAGGGAGCTTGAACTTGTTCTCGTGGAAGAGAGAGAGAGAAGTACTCGCCTGATGTTCTTCTGTCGATATCATCTACAAGTCATCTCCTATGCTACATATTCCTTCCTATTCTCTTCCTCATGATCGATCGCCTGATGCGTTTTCCTTGCAATTGACCGCACATCAAACCTTCCATAATCGGACAGTGAAGATGCCCATGCGAATTTCGAGATGGCGCTGAGAGTTCGATGGAGGCGCGCATTGTGTTGTGCGATGACACACCCGATGCGGAGCCCGTTGGAACAGAAATCCTCAGACACGTATTTTTAGCCTTGGATGATGATGATGGTTATGCTCGTCGTCGCGTTGTTGTGCGATGCGAGTTGGAGGGAGGGAAGGGGGGAACATCAATCATACTTTGCTCATTCCGTAGATTACACACACCAAGCCCGGATCGCAGAATCGTGCGAGATCCAGGGAGAGGATCGAGGTGAAAGGCGTGGGGTTCGGTACGTCTCGGTTGGGAAAGACGGCTTTGGCGTATACTTCGTCGCTGATGAGGTGGATGTCGTATTTGGAACAGAGGGCTAGATATGCTTCCAGGACTTCTGGGGCGTAGCATCTTCCGAGGGGATTATGTGGGTTGCAGAGTAGGATTCCTCTAATCTTCATGCCTGCCTGTTGAGCCGCCAAAAGAGCTTCTTCGTGTCTACGTACTCCCGTCATGCTCGTGACATTTTCCAACGAAGCGGTCGATACGGGGATGACCTTGACTCTTGACGTTTTTCGCGATGAGCATTTGATTATTTTCAGCGGAATGGGAATGAAACACCAGCAGCTAGCTAGGCAATCAAATAGGACATGGTATATATAGCCTTACCGTGCACGATCCTCCAGATCCCCTACAAATCCGACGTAGAAAGGTTGAGCCACCAAGATCCCGTCGCCCTCCTCGGCAACGCAGTAACTCACGGCATCGAGAATCGATGCGCCCCCTCCCATCACCGTCACATGCTCTCTTTCAACGTGTTCTGCGGGTGAGAAATTCGAGTTCCAAAACCTGGCGAGCGCAGCTCGTAATTCAATGGAACCGGTTGGGCCGTCACCGTAGGTTAGCACTGGGTTTTTTTTGGTCAGCCGTCGTTTGATTCTTTTCGCGATGGGAAAAGGGGGGGCGGGTGGTTATTATAAGTATATAGCTATAGAAAGTTACGTGCTTTTTGTAGTCATGCGAAAATTAGAGTTTATATACTCGGCGATTTCACGATGCCTTCAATATGTCATGCCGCCAGTCAGTGTGTGGGAGGAACGATACTGATTGCTTTGGTAGGAAAATGGAGTGGATCGAGTGAAGGAATGGATGCGCTTACGGATAACTTATCATCGTACAAGTCAGTTGGAGCACCGTTTAATATACGGAGGAGGAGGATTAGATAGAAATAGCCAATCCTTGATATAAGAATGCCAGTATACAAAGCATATTCATATATAGATTACATCCAGCAGTAATATATCTTCATCTTCATCATATTATATATATATGCGTAAACTTATCAAGTTTCGGGCTATTTTCCGTACGGATGAGGTTTTCCAATCCTTGTCGTCGTATTATCAGAATCTCGGATAACCCTTCAGATGTCACGATCCTGACGTTTCGGCCGGCCTAGCCGCCGCTCCGGCGCACGTGCTTGCTGATACAGCTCACGTGCGCTTCATGTAAAATATATATAGGAGCGCTGTTCTGTAGCTAGTAGAGGCAGTAGTAAATTCTAAGGAAGCCTTTGACCCTGTTAATTCAGCTCTTTACGGCACAAGCGCCACATCAGAGACAAAAAGGGAAAGGATCTAAGGATGGAAGGAACCTACAATCCTTGCTCGCGCGGGTCAATAAATATTATCTAAAAGAAATGTTTATATAAAAGTCTAAAAGCAAACTTATCATCATTACGAGTTATGTTATGCAATGGTAAAAGGTATACAAAAAGAGTACAGAAATTCCCCAAAACAAATGAGCCCTGCAGGACTCGAACCTGCAATCTTTTGATTGGGGACAACTATTATTTCTAATAGAAATCGAAGTCAAACGCGTTACCATTGCGCCAAAAGCCCGTTTTGTTGTGAGTGTTGGCCACTTGATTGATATATATTTACCCTTTCGTCATGGTGGGAATAGATCACTCATGCGGGTGTACAGTAAAAGTATCCTTAATGTCAAGGTTTTGCTCTACATCGATATAGAACGTATGGAAACTCTACGCAAAATCAATTGTCCGAGGGATGGGGAATGCCGTTTCTTAGCACTAGCGTGAGAAACGGACTAGCGGGAAAAAACGGAAATCACGGGCTTTCGTGGTTGTCCGTTTGGCCTGGTTGTGGTGTGGGCCAGTAGGATTTCCTTACACACAAAGTTTGCGCCATCATCTCTTGGGAACGACTGAACGACTGAACGACTGACAGGAGTGCAGAGTATGGTTCATGTCCACGATGATGGAGCTGAGGAAGATACGTTACCTCCAGCTGATGAGGAGGTGACAGTCTGACCAAGCAAGCGGAGATACGACGTGAGGAATGTGCGATTGGTGAATTGAGACGGGATGAGATGAGACTGGAAAGGACTTGTTTGTACGTGGGATATCAGTCGGGAGGATCTTGCTATTAAGTGTTCCTTCTAGAACAAAGGCTCTATCTCGCCCGGACTCGGCGGACTTCACTACGGTTCAGAGGCGTTTGTCCTTGAATGCGTTTGCGACTCGGATTTAGAAGAGTTCTTTCTTCTTCATTCCAACGTTATCCATTATAAGCTGATTCCGAACACAGTAATGTTAAGAGATTTGCCCCTGAGTGACAGGCAGCCAGCCGCCCCGCACTTGTTCTCGGTATTCTAGTTGTCCGTTAAGGGAGGCCATGTGTTAACCGACGGTCTTATGCTTATGGTTCTGATGTATATTTAACCGCATCTAGGGCTTTCCGGTGATATCAGCTCGTATTGCCGACCTCTTAAATGTTACTTGATGCTCCTTCATTACTCGCGTTGAGATCTCCAGTTTGACATCTGAAGATTGCTGATCATCTTACACCCTTGTTCAAGGAAAAGCCAGAAGCTTCTGACGTATTTAATTTTCTATTCCCTCTACTTCATCCCATTCTATCCTGTCCATTGTTTCTTTCCTATCGATTAGCAGTACTCGGGTGTGGTATCAGCAACATTACAATTGCCTATCATGGCAGACGTTGAGCCGGAAGGCTTCACCTCGATTGTTCGACGAGATAGACCCCTAAGTGGAGCTTCACGACGAGAAAGACCAGTTAGTGGCCTCTCACGAGTCCTCTCAACATCATCCGCATTTTCGGAGCGAAGAGCATCAAGACATTATGATGATCTTGACGACGACCATCAAGATGAACCGATTATTAGTATGGCTGAAGATTGGGCCATGATGCCCGAGATTCACGCCCTTCGAGAACAAGGAGAAAAAGACAAGATCAAGAGAAGAGAGCTTGGGGTGACGTGGAAGGACTTGACAGTCAAGGGAATTGGAGCCGATGCGGCTATTAATGAGAACGTTGGCTCACAATTCAATCTTCCAAAGATTATCAGGGAGGGAAGAGCAAGTCCACCGCTTCGAACTATCATCAATAATGCTCATGGATGCGTTAAACCTGGAGAGATGCTCTTAGTTCTGGGAAGGCCTGGGGCTGGATGCACGACTCTATTGAAGATGCTTGCCAATAACCGAACGGGATATGCAGAGGTCACGGGTGATGTTCATTTTGGTTCATTGAACCATACCGAAGCACATCAATACCGAGGACAGATCGTCATGAATACCGAAGATGAACTTTTCTTCCCCACGCTCACCGTTGGACAAACGATCGATTTCGCGACGAGAATGAAGGTTCCACACAACTTACCTTCAAATCAAAGTACTCCCCTTGAATATCAACAACAGAGTCGAGATTTCTTATTGAAGAGCATGGGTATTTCCCACACGCATGAGACGAAAGTAGGTAATGAGTACGTGAGAGGTGTTTCTGGTGGTGAGAGAAAACGTGTTTCTATCATCGAGACGCTTGCTACGAGGGGAAGTGTGATGTGCTGGGATAATTCGACCAGAGGCCTGGATGCAAGTACGGCTTTGGAATATACGAAAGCTGTTAGGGCACTGACAGATATCTTTGGGTTGGCTAGTATCGTCACGCTATATCAAGCGGGTAATGGTATCTATAACCTATTCGACAAGGTTTTGGTTTTGGATGAGGGGAAACAGATCTACTATGGACCGATGAAGCAGGCTCGCCCTTTTATGGAAGAAATGGGATTCATCTGTGATGATTCTGCGAACGTTGCTGATTTCTTGACTGGTGTTACGGTATATTTTCCTTCCTATCATTGCATGCAACTCGCATACTGATCACATTTTACTATAGGTACCAACTGAGCGTAAAATCAAAGACGGCTTCCACGATCGATTCCCCCGAACGGCTGACGAGATCCTCGCCGTCTATAACAATCACCCCATCAAACTCGAAATGGAAAAAGACTATACGTATCCCAGCACCGACATAGCCAAAGAGCGAACCTCCGACTTTCGCGAATCCGTCCAACATGAAAAGTATCCAAGGCTGAGCAAGACATCCCCTCTCACCACCAGTTTCACCACTCAAGTCCAAGCCTGTATCATCCGTCAATATCAAATCATCTGGGGAGACAAAGCCACATTTATCATCAAACAACTTTCCACCCTGGCACAAGCTCTCATCGCCGGTTCCCTCTTCTACAATGCTCCCAACAATTCCGCCGGTTTATTCATCAAATCTGGTGCTCTTTTCCTTTCCCTTCTCTTCAATTCCCTCCTCGCAATGTCTGAAGTCACCGACTCATTTTCTGGTCGTCCTGTCCTCGCCAAACATAAAGCATTTGCTCTGTATCATCCCGCCGCCTTCTGCATCGCTCAAATAGTCGCCGATATCCCCGTTCTCCTGATCCAAATCTCGCATTTCTCACTTGTCATGTATTTTATGGTAGGATTGCGACAAGATGCCGGTGCTTTCTTTACATATTGGGTGATGATTTTTGCAACGACCATGAGCATGACTGCTCTCTTCAGAGCTGTTGGTGCTGGCTTCTCGACCTTTGATGCCGCGAGTAAGGTTTCGGGTTTTTTGATTAGCGCTTTGATCATGTATACCGGGTATATGATTCAAAAACCTAATATGCATCCTTGGTTCGTTTGGATTTACTGGATTAATCCCATAGCGTATGGATTCTCAGCCATCTTAGCAAACGAATTCAAGGGTTCAGTGGTTCCCTGTGTAGGATCAAATTTAGTCCCAAATGGACCAGGATACACTGATCTAGCATATCAAGCCTGTGCTGGTGTTGGTGGTGCCTTGCCAGGAGCCACCAGCGTCACCGGAGAACAATATCTTCACTCGCTCTCCTACTCGAGTGAAGACATTTGGAGAAATTTTGGAATCCTCTGGGCTTGGTGGGTTTTATTCGTCGGACTCACTATTTATTGCACTTGCAATTGGAGTTCCTCTTCTGGAAAATCCGGATTTCTTTTAATTCCTCGAGAGAAAGCGCATAAGAATGCTTCCGTTTTGAAGGCAGCCAATGCAGGTGACGAGGAATCAGGAGCGGTTCAAGAAAAACGCCCGCCAACGTCTCGTCCCACATCTGAAGATACCAGGGTGGGTGATGAGAGCGATGATCAACTGATGCGCAATACTTCGGTCTTCACCTGGAAGAATCTCACCTACACCGTCAAGACACCATCAGGCGATCGGGTTCTCCTCGATAATGTACAGGGATGGGTCAAACCCGGTATGTTGGGCGCACTCATGGGATCATCTGGAGCAGGGAAGACGACACTTTTGGATGTCCTCGCACAAAGGAAAACTGACGGAACGATCAGAGGATCTATACTTGTTGACGGTCGCCCCCTCTCTGTTTCTTTCCAACGTTCAGCTGGTTATTGCGAGCAATTGGACGTTCATGAACCATTTGCCACCGTACGTGAAGCGTTGGAATTTTCCGCCCTCCTCAGACAATCGCGGACGATCCCCGAAGCCGAGAAATTAAAATACGTCGATACCATCATTGATCTTTTGGAAATGCACGACATTGAGAACACGTTGATTGGAAACACCGGAGCGGGATTGAGTATCGAGCAGAGAAAACGTTTGACGATTGGCGTGGAGCTTGTTTCCAAACCATCCATTCTTATCTTCTTGGACGAACCCACTTCCGGTCTCGATGGACAAGCTGCATTTAACACGGTCCGATTCTTGAGAAAATTGGCAGATGTTGGTCAGGCCATCTTGGTGACAATTCATCAACCTTCGGCTCAACTCTTTGCTCAATTCGATTCCCTCTTGTTACTCGCGAAAGGAGGCAAGACGGTCTATTTCGGAGATATCGGTGATGATGCACAAACCATCAAGGAATACTTCGCCCGCTACGGTGCCCCCTGTCCTGAATCTTCCAACCCCGCGGAACACATGATTGACGTCGTATCCGGTTCTCTAAGCAAAGGCAAAGACTGGAACGAGGTCTGGCTCAATTCCCCCGAGTACGAATACACGGTCCAAGAACTCGATCGCATAATCGACACCGCCGCGGCGGCACCACCGGGAACCTCCGACGATGGTTTCGAATTCGCCATGCCCATTTGGGATCAGGTGAAGCTCGTCACCAATCGCATGAACGTTTCCATCTACCGCAACACCGAGTACATCAACAATAAACTTTTACTCCACATCGGCTCCGCGCTTTTCAACGGATTCAGTTTCTGGATGATCAAGGATTCCATCGGCGGGCTCCAACTACGACTCTTCACCATCTTCAATTTTATCTTCGTCGCGCCCGGTGTCATGGCACAGCTACAACCCCTCTTCCTCGAACGCCGCGACATCTACGAAGTGCGCGAGAAGAAATCCAAAATGTACTCCTGGTGGGCCTTTACCACTGGCAACGTCGTCTCCGAGATCCCCTACCTCTGCATCTGCGCCGTCCTCTACTTCGTCTGCTGGTACTACACTGTGGGCTTCCCCTCGGACAGCAACAAGGCCGGCGCGGTCCTCTTTGTCATGATCTGCTACGAATT